AAGTCACCGCCCAGGAGGCCGGTAGGCCGCTATATCTTCAGGAAGAGCGGTGAGCTCTTCCTCATTTGCGGTATGCAAGGATTGGCGACATGCTGCTGGAGYGCAGCGCTGGACTGAAGCAGCGCTGCTTGGAGGTGAAGGTCCGCTGGGGCTCAGCCTGGCTATGGCGAGCACCCCAGCTTGAGGAGGAGGAAGAAGGGGGGCATGGTAGGAGTGGTAGGGCACTTACCTGGCTATGGTGGACACCGTCTTCATCACCTTGTTGGGCGCTGCATCTGSAAGGCCCCAGTTGGGGTAGCGCTGCACCAGAGCAGCTCAAGGCAGAGTCAGGCATAGCGGACCAAGTCAAGCAGCGGCATAGCTGCTTTGGGTTGTCTTGGGACATTAGCGCAGCATCATAGCTGCCTCCCGGTAGTCCGCCATGGCCTATGCATGAGAGGAGGATGAAGGAGGGAAGCCATGGCCATGGTGGACTTTCTTGTTGTTGTTGTTCTTGTGAGTTGAGTCAGCAGTAAGGGGGGACTTCGGACATTGATTCTGGTTCATCCATTCATTGTTATTATTATTATTGAGAGACGGATAAGATTGGTGAAGAGAAGGAGGAAGGAGGAAGGTGGAGAGAGAAGGGGGAATTGTCATTGGTCTTGCTGGTGTACTTCTTCTTCTTCTTCTTCTTCTTCTTTACCTCTCCTCTGGTCTTTATCTCTTTGCAAGTGCTTTCATTTCTTTCGCAATTGGGTGGCATTGTCTTTCATTGTGAATTTGCACTTGGGAAATGACCAGGATCGTAACAATTGGTATCAGAGCAGACTTACTTGCTGGCGAGAGGTGTTAACCACCCTAACCCTGATTCCGAATTAGGTTAGGGCTGACCTAATCTCGGATTAGGGTTGGGAAGTTAGGGTTAAGTGGGGCAGCGAGGTATGGGGATGCTGCCCCCACCTGGTTAGGTCATATAGGGTCAACATTGGACCCAACCAGGTTGCTTGAGTGAATGAATGGGGTGGTGAGACACAAAGGAGGCTGATTGGAGTAAGCGAGAGGGAGTAGAGAGTGAGAGGTACTCGCACCTGGATTCTGGACTTCAGGAAGACATTGAGTGACTTTTGGGCTTCCCCTCAAGAGGGAGACTTGATCGGAGGCGGCCATATCTGCATCGGATTGCTGCAAGTTGCTACTTTGGTCTTCAGGCATCGACGGGGGATCCGACTTTGCAATAAGGGTGTAGGAAGGCCCTCTTAGTCATGCTAGGACACTTCGTGTAGTGATAGCTAGGGGTCAGGAGGACTTATATGAGAGGGGAGTGACTCGTTATCCATCTTTGGAGGCCGGGCCTCACAGGTAAGTGTCGTGTGACCTGGGTAAGCCCGTGGGAAGTTGCTTGGTGCTTCATGGCCTGTTGGGGGTGTGCTGGGTTCTCTTCCTCTTCTCTGCGGTCTTGGTTGTGTGTGTGAGCTTGTGGATTGCTTTCTCACCTGATGGATGGATGGATGATGTATCTACTCTAAATAACATATCTTTCTACGGTGCATTGTCTTTTCATTTTTGAACGGCTGTAGAAGTAAGTTCTTGCTGAAAGTTGTCTTTTCCTTTTCAGTACGGTAGAGGCAGTTTGGGATCGACTTGGTACCCCTATCACATTGGTCCTGGTCCACGGCCTACTTGGGACCACTCGGGACCCAGTGGGACCAGGCCCAATAGGACAGGACCTTTTGGGCCCAGATCTGTTGCCGTCCGAGCATTTCTTTGTGGCGCTGAACTTGGGGGATATACGGACAGCAAGGGCGTCCCTTTCAAGGGGATCTTGACTGGCCTTACCGCATGTTAGCACATACCGCCCCGCGTCCGACTCGGCGACCATCGGCACCCCTCGAAATCTTCATTGCTGCAGTTAGTCTTCTTCGTCTGATTTATTGTGATGACATGTCCTCTGTCAGGTTAGACAAGAGGGGATCTCCAGCTGATCTGATCGAGCTCGTTCTATAAATCAGACCTCTCTGCTATTGTTTTTTTTTGTTTTTTTTTGTTTTTTTTTTTCTTCTGCTGCGTGTCACACTCTAAGTCCAAACGATTCGCCGCTCCGGCCAGGAGTTCTACCTTCTTCTCTGAGTGGTTTTCTGTTTGTTTCTTTTATCTGAACTATCTATGTCCAGTATCGAGACGCGTGCGCAGACAGCGAAAAAAGAGGAAAGGGAGAAAGAAGGTGTGTTGTTTGAGAGTGTGAGAAGGGGTAAGAGGAGTGCTCGTCCAAACGCAAGGAGAGAGCGGACCCCTCTTGAGAGTTCTGTTGACACCCCTTCCTCCGGCATGGCGAACATCACACCTTCCCAATGGCAAGCCATGCTGGATACAGCGGACGAGAGCCAGAAACCATTCTTTCAAAAACTGTATGATGATGCTGTGCAGAGGGAAAGGGAGGCAGCGGCAGCAGCTAGAGCTGCCGACATTGCTGATCAGGTGGCTCTCCTCCGGATCTCGGAAGCCAATGCTGACCGGTTCCGGGAGGAACTAGCTACTGCTGTAGCAGCCTTGGTCCGACTACGGACCTTGGAAGACTTTGAGTCTCGTATGACAGCACTTGAGCAGCGGAACGAAGAGCTGCAGGCTAAGGTAATTAGCCTTGAACAGTCCCAGCTGTCTGCCTCCCGCCCTCCTAACCCTCGATCTGCTGTAATCCCAGTCTCTCAGCCCAGCACAACCCTCGTTCCAAGGGCCAGCGGAACTGCGGTAAGTGTAGGAACCGGTGCAAGCTCCTCAAGCGGCAGCACCGGTAGTTCTGCACTGATCGCAGTCCCAAGTGCAGGGACTTCAGCCCAAAATGCCACAGTCCTTACTGGCGTTCAGTACAGCGGTCCCATGGTGGACAAGCGGGCGGCCACGCTGCCGTCCAAGTACGACGGGAAGGCTGACATCACCTCTTGGATTAGTTCCATGCGGTCATACTTCGAGGTCATGCGGACACCGCAAGAGGACCAAAGTATGATCATGGGAACTAATACCGAGCCTGCCGTACGAAACCACATTGAGCTCCAAGCTGTTGCTGCAGGCTATGCACGCATAGACCTGACTGATTGGCTGAAGGTCACCCCTGTTCGCACCCTTGAGGATCTTCTCCTTGACCGGTATCAGGATAAACATGTTGCGCTCAAGGCTAGACTGAAGCTTGAGGCCCTCAAGGGCCAAACATGGAGGTCATCCATGTAGGCTTTGGAACAACATCTGACTGGTCTATTCACCACTCCGGATTTGGGGATGACTGACGTGTCCTGCATGGATATAGTCATGGGAGTGGCCCCTAAAGAATACCTCTCCCTGCTAGCACTCAAATACCATGTTACCTGGCGAGAGCTCATGAAGGATCTAGTCAACCTAGAGGCCAAGGACCTCGCCAGGCGCAAGAAGGCGCCCGCTGCAGGTGGAAAACCACAACGCAAGCGGTTTGGAAGCAACAACCAGCTTGCACTGCATGACCATCGGGAGGCTGGAGATCAGTCTTATGCGGATGATCTGTCTCTAGATGACGATCTAGAGCCGGACTCCGATACGGGCTGTTCTGCATCAGCCATTGAGTGTGATAGAAATGACGATGAAAAACTTAATCCATTCAGAAAGACTGCTTCGAACAAGGGGCCTAACCGTGGTTCGGGTAAGGGAACAGTTATACACCTTCCCAAGAATGCTAAGATCCCTGAGAAACCGGAGGACGCTTCCACCAAACCTTGGGAAGCCCTCCGCATCAGCCAAAAAAAATGGGAAAGAAGATCCAAACTGCGCGTATGCTTGCATTGTTCAAAGCCTGGGCATGCTGTGCAGGATTGCTATCGTCTTCAGGGAAACAGGCAAGGGGCGTAGAGGAGTCATCAGCACTCTCTACAGCAAGGGAAGTTGGGCAGTCAGTTGCAGGCCCTTCCGAGGAGCCTGGATCTGATCAGCACCGTTCTCTTGAGGCCCAAACTAAGGCTGAATCCAAGGCTGACGCAGTCCAAGTATTGTACACTGAGCCTTGGGAGGAGTCTAAAGAGGTCGACCTCCACGCCCACATGAAGCATTGGCTGCAACTCAAGCAGCAACGCCGTGTTCAAGGGAGCATGGAGCTGATTTTCTTTAAACTACTCATTAACCGCCGATACATCCGTGTGCTGATTGATAGTGGTTCGACCACTAATTTCTTCTCTCCGAACGGGATTCGTAAGGCGGGCCTGAGTATGAAGCAAGTGAAACTGCAGAATCCTTGCCGGACTCAGGTGGGCAACCAAGAGGTTGTCACTTCTTCTCATGCTGTCAAAGGTGTGTGCATCACCTTTGACAAAGATCGCACTGTCACACATGAGCTGAATTTCTATGTTCTTGACAAGTGTCCTTTCGACGCGGTCATTGGCTTGGGCTGGCTAAAGGCTCATTGCCTAAGGACCACGTGGGCAGACAACCAGTTCGTGGTACTTGATGCCAAGGGGAACGAGCGTACCGTCTTACTAGACGAGATGCGCAAGTCCCCTGTGACTTTTCTCTGTGCTAACAAATTCTACAGGTCAGTGCGCAGGCGCAAGGAAGCTGAGTTTGTACATATAGCTCTTGTAAAGTCTTTCCACGTGCCTTCTACTTTTGCTGCATTTTCTACCTCTGAAGGTAACTCTACCTCTACTACTACTACTTTTGTTCCACCTACTTCTGCTGTAAATGATCAATCTAGTTCGGAACCAAATATGTCGAAACCGTTTGTGATTGCTGTAAATTCCCAATCTGATTTTCTCTCTCCTGATGAGGATGATCCTCCACCAGAAATCCCAGCGAACATTCGCCATCTATTAGATCGATTTCTTGAAGTGTTGGCTGAACCTCGCGGAGTTACCGAGCGTCCAGTCAAGCACAAAATCGAGATAATAGAAGGGAGTGTCCCTCCAAAGGGCTGCGTCTACCGTATGGGACAAGGCGAGTTGGAGGAGCTGCAGAGACAAATTGATGACATGATTGATCGTGGATGGATTAGGCCTAGCGAGTCTGAGTTTGGCGCACCTGTTTTGTTTGTGCCGAAGAAAGGAGGCAAACTCCGGATGTGCATTGATTATTGTGGTTTGAACCGAATCACAAGGAATAATGCCTACCCTTTGCCTCATATAGATGATATGTTGGATGCGGCCGGTGGATGCAAAGTCTTCTCCAAGATCGACCTCAAGTCTGGCTACCACCAGATTGAAGTTGATCCGAGTGACTAGCACAAAACTGCGTTCAAGACACGCGACGGGCTGTACGAATTCATCGTTATGCCCTTCGTCCTTATGAACGCACCAGCCACATTTCAGTCCCTCATGGACAAGGTACTCCGCCACCAACTTAGCAGGTTTGTGGTTGTGTATCTTGATGACATTCTGATTTTTAGCAAGTCCATGGAGAAGCACGTCAAGCATCTCGATGAGGTCTTGCAAGTCCTCAAAGATGCTCAACTGCACCTCAACTTGGAGAAATCTGAGTTTGGCAGGGACAGCGTCATCTACCTTGGACACCGGTTGTCCGCAAGCGGTCTTGAGCCGAAGGCAACCAAGATTGAGGTCATCCGCAACTGGTCTCAACCGGCGAATGTACGCGAGCTGCGTTCTTTTCTTGGTTTGGCTTCTTACTACCGGAAGTTTGTGCCTAAGTTCTCTGTCATTGCTCACCCACTCTCACGC